TAATTTTTTATTTAAAAATTTGTAACTGGCTATTTTTGGGGGTGATGAATCCAATTTAATGGTCAAAAGTTATTAAGTACCTCTAATTATCAATTTAAATAAATTTAGGCAATTTTTTATAAAGCTGATTTTGATGCTCTAGAAACCCATGTAGCCTTGATGACATATCATTCTATATTTATTGTTCGTTCAAAAAATGTAGAGATTTTGATCAGGAAGTATATGGATTTCCATATATGGATAATGTGGCATGGTTCCCACTTTTTTGTAGCAGAATATTGTGATCAGAATATTTAGATCACTACTTTTTAGTTTTTGTGGTTTTTATACTATGCAGCACAAACATAAAAAAAAAGAATCTTTGAAATATTAGGATGATTTTTTTTTTAAATTATTAACTATTTGTTTCTGAACTTCACTCACAAAACCAATGTCATGCTCATTATCTTCTGACATAAAGCAAAATGATTTCTCTTTAGGCTGGTCATTTTTGTTTAATAAATAAGTGCAACAGGGTGTAACATGCATTGACACCAACTTTGGGTTCCATCTTGAATCACAAGTTTGTAATTTTCTGCAAAATCACATAAGACAACACAGCAGTCCTTGGAAAATTTTCCTTTTGTTGCCTAGGTTACTTGCTTGACATTTTGCAATGTAGGAATGAGCTGTGAAGTTGTTTATTGCCACTGATAACATCAATTTGTATTCTTCCATTATTGTTTTCTGACAGATCAACAACAATTAAAGTTGTTCTGTCTGTTTTCTTTTTAGTTCAAAAAGTTTATACGATGTTAAGTTCTGTTAAAATCATTATTTTAGATGGATGACTTTTAAATCTATATGCAAATCCAATTGCAAATCAGAAATCTTTACTTTACTATACTTTCTTAAAAAATTTCAAGGCCACATGGGTTTCTTGATCATCAAAATTAGGTATATAAAAAATTGTCTAAATTTATTTAAATTGATAAGTACAGGTTCTTAAAGATAATTTTTTAGATTTCTGATAATTTCATTAGATTTGAAAAATAGCCAGGTACAAATTTTTAAGTAAAAAGATCAAATATTTTTAAACTTATGTAACTTGAAACCTATAAATAAATGTTGCAATTCTAAGGAAACAATAGAGGTCTGGCCAACATCTGTTAAAAGTAAAATGGTCATATTTCAGGATCTTCTTAGAGCCAAGGTTAACATTTTTATTCTACTAAATACTCTTAACTGTATAAAAATCATCAAAATCTAAGATAGAGGGTGACATTTTTAAAAATTTCTGGGTCATTTGACATGGAATTACCCTTAGTTCCAACTAAGTTTGCACTGTGGTTTTGGGTCTTGTCTAGAAGAGAAAGGCATCCTTTAAAGGTTTGTAAAGGTAGGGAGTTAAATCAGGAATTGTCACATCCATGTTTGTTTTTACGAGTTACCTTTGTTAATGAATCTATTAAAGATTTTTCAAGTCTTTCTTATGAAATTCAAAGATTCAATAAACTAAAAATAATGGAACTTTAGAATGTATCTTTTTTACATTGATTTTGTTCAATAATAAATAGACTTTTGTTCTCAAAAGAGTTCTTCTTTTAGAAAAGATGAAAAAAAAAAATGATTTTGATTTTAAATATCAGCTGCACAAGAAGTTAGAAGCCATGTTAAAAAAGAGTTTGTCTTTTAACTGACAAAAATGAATAAAAAATTGAAACTGGAAATTAGGGTAACCAGTCTGTTATATGGTTGTAGTCATTAGATAAATCAGAGGCCATCCTCAGAATGCTTTTTTTAAAAGTGCTTGTTGACACTGGCATGTTTTTATTTTTAAATTTGGAAAATCACTAAAAAGATATTCAAATATGCTAATAAAATATTCTCTATTTAAAAATATTTTTCATATTTTCTTGAACAGCTACATAGTTAGCAGCTACATAATTTGCAGCTGTAACTGATTACTAAATGACATATACAAGTTCTGGGTTTTAGACTTTGCAACAAAACTCTTTTTAGAATTATTTTCTGAATATTTTTTTGGCCAAACATTTTAATGAAATGTCAAATTCATTGAACATTTCAATAAAATGTCTGACAGATCATATTTGTGTTTGATTCCTTGTTTTGAGAAAGTTGTTTTTTGGAAACAAAAAAATTTACTATTATTTTGACATATTACCCTTTTAAATTCAATTTTTAATTTTTTGTGTTTTTGTGTAATTTATTGTAAATCACAGTTTTATTATTTATTTATTTTTTAATTTTTTTTTCTTGTGTGAACATTATGTCAACCTTTGAATTTTTCTGTTATTGTTTTTATTTATAAACATATATATATTTTTAATTATTATTTTTATTAGGTTTACATTTGATTTACTTCACTTCGTGCTGAAAAATTTTAAGTTTTTTTTTTTGCTGATTACCTTTAATAATTATTATTTAAACTATAACTTTTTCCTTTTAAGGCTCTGCTATTTAGTGCTTTATATCTTTTTTTTAGTACAGTGAACGCTCTATATAAGCCACCTCTCTATAAGCAACATTCTTTATAAGCAACCTCTATACAAACAACTTTAGTTCAACTGATCTGTATAAGCAACTTATTTTTTGAAAGCTAAACATTTGAGTTAAGTTTAGCCTCAAATTATAAAAAGTTATGTTATGCCGTGCGTGAACGCTACAGGTAAGCATAAATTAGATTTGATGATGAGAGAGAAATCAAATCTCCTGGTTGCTTCAAAAATATGAATTTTCCAGTATATTACAAATCATCTGAAAATGCTTGGCCAACTTATACACTTTTTAACGACTGGTATAATGATATATTCATAACTCCAGTAACTCGACACTTGTAAACTAAAAACCTTCTCGTAAAAGCCCTTCTCTTAGTAAGTAGTGCAACTTGTCATTAGTCTGAGAATAATTTTACTGATAACCCGAATTTCAAAGTTATGTCCCCCCCCCCCAATTACACATAATAATAACACACCATTATTGCAACCACTAGATCAAAATGTGATAAAATCACTAAAAAAACGCTATCACAAACATCTACTTGAATGTCTTGCAGCCTTAGATGCAGAAGATGGAATAGTTTCAGCACTGAAAATTATAAATTTTAAAGATGTTCTTTATTTAGTGGTCCAGGCATGATATGAAATTCCCATATCAGTTATACAAAATTCATTTAAACATCTTTTTTCGTAAAGTGATGAATTTCAATACAACATTCCTTCCAATCACTTTTCAGAAAAAGATATTATTCCTTAACAAGATTGTATTATTTGATATGTAATTATTGTAATTAAGCAGATACTGAAATTATGGAGTGGGCCAGTGGAACAAGCGAGGCAAATCATCCATTTAACCTTGAAGAAAATCATAAAGTAGAAAGTGAAACTACTCCTGTTAAAGAAAATGAAAAAACGTTGAGTGACTTCAATAAAAACATCAATGATGTTATAAATTCTTTTAATTTGATGATAGAATGCGCAAAAGAAAATTACTTAGCCTGCATTGAGGTTCTTTTGTTACTAAAAATAAGAGAAAAAGCTATCATAAATAAATATAAGTAATTGTTTTTATTTGTTTTGGCAATTAGTCCTGTACTAAACCAAAGATTTATTATAATTTAATTTTTTATAATTTTTTTTTTCTTAATGAAATTATTAACTACGCTTATATGATAGTAATAAAATATTTACATTTGCAAAACAAAACTAAGTTTATTTATTGCACACAGTTTAGTGTAAATAAAATAGTTTAAATGAAATAAGTAGAAATAATTTTCTTACTTCTTTTACTAACTAAACTGAAAGTTTAGTTAGTTAAAGAAATAATGGTAAATATTGTTATACTCCTTTTTTCCTTATAAGCAACTTTTCCCAATAAGAAACTTTTTTATTGAAATCGATTCAAATAAGTTGCTTATATAGAGTGTTCACTGTATTTTGTTTAATTTTAGGCTGTAAATTTAATAATTTTATAAATGTTTACAAAAGTAAACGTATATGTTAAAGAAATATCATGTAAATGTACATAACATTATAAATAGAGGAATTTAGTTTTCCTTTTAAAAGTATGCTGATTTTAGTAAGTGTTTTAATTTTTTTTTTAATGGTTTGTTCCCTAAGGCACAGGTAGGTCACCTCTAAATTGTTAAAACAACTGTCAGTCTTTTTACTCCAAATTGAGTAGTTTTGCAGCAAAACAAGTTAAATATAGTACTTCTAAAAATTTAGAAGTTTTGCATATCTTGCAAAAGCAAATCTTTATCACTGCACCACTATTATACGACAGGCTGACTATCACTACCAGATTCCTTTAAGGAAAGAATAATAAATAAATAAAAGTTTTTAAATTTATTTGTTTCTTTATTCTAAAATGTCTTAAGCAGCTTTAAGACATTTACAAATAATGAAATATGTTAAATAAATTATATAAGAATATATTTTATTTTTGAATATCTAAAGTGCCTTTAGATATTCAAAGATCAAAATATCTTTTCATTTGCTAAGTGCGCTGAATGAAAACCATCAAGTAATACAACATTGCAAAACACAAGTGGCTGAATTATTAATTTTAAATTATTATTTTTTTAATATTATTTTTCATGGATGAAATAAGAATTATTTTTTTAAGGCCACATGAACAAGTTTACTTATTTTTGTAATTAGTTTCTCCGTGCAGCTGCCTTGTTCATCAAAGCTTGTGTTTCGAGGTTATAGGGTTGAGAGAGGGTTGTTACCACAACTGAACTAGCCTCCTCGAAGGTAGTGGCCTTCATGGCTTTTGGGAGGTGAAGTGAAATAAATAAAAAAAAGGACATGTTTACAATTTTAAATAAGATCTTTTTGATATTATGTTTTTATTATCATGATTGATAAAATTTTAAATATTTCTTTAAACTAAGTTGTTGTCATAAAATGTTTTTAATTTTTATTATGTTGTTTATACTTTTTTAACATTTATAAAGTAGTTAATTTTTCATTTAGTTTATTTTTTGTTTCATTTAGTTTAACATTTTAATTGAAATAAATGAAATGTCAGATGAAACAAAGCTGACTAACGGTGAAACAAACCTAAATAATGATGAAGCAAAGCTAAGTGACGCTGAAACAAAAGTAAGTACAAACGAAACGAAGCTAACAAACGATGAAACAAAGCTAAGTAAAGATGAAACAATGCAAAGTAATGATGAAACAAAGCTAAGTAACGATGAAACAAAATTAGGTAACGATGAAGCAAAACTAATTGACAATGAAACGAAGCTAAGTACTGATGAATTAACGCTAAGTAATGATGAAACAAAGCTAAGTAGAAATGAAACAAAAATAGGTAACAATGAAACAAAACTAATTGACGATAAAACAAAGCTAAGTACTGATGAAACAAAAGTGAGTACTTTAGAAAAAGAGGTAGCTAGTTTAAGTTTTGCATTAAAGTTAATGGAAGAAAAAAATATACGATTAAAAAAACACTATAAAAATAATATCAAAAACTTGAGTACAAAGCTTGCTGATTTTGAAAAACTATTGGTTACAGAAAAAGAATACATTGTAAAACTACTAAATGAAAAAGATGAAAAAATAAAATTTCAAAATCACATAATACAGTCATTTTCCAATCAGAAATATATTGCTCATGAAAACATTAATTTGCACATATCTAAAAGTACCATATATAATTTGCATGACAATCAAAATGTTGAAGCTGAAAAATTGAGTCACCAGCGCTCCTATTCTTCAAGCAATAAGGATTATGGTATGATTAATAATGATTATGGTATGATTAATAATGATTATGGTATGAATATTGACATAAAAGAACAGATAAAATCATCACGTACAGAATCATCTAAGAAGTATAAGCAGAAGACCATTCAAAATAAACATAAAAGGAATCTCGACAAATTTTCAGATGAATTTGTTAGTTCTACTTTTAAACTAGCAAACAAGCAAATTTTATCTCGGTCTTTTGAAAAAAACTTTCTTGTTTATAATTACTCTTCTAATCTAGCTCATTCATGCATTAAAAGTGGTATTGAGTTTTTATGTAGCCAGCCAATTAAGAAAAATGATTGTTCAAGCATTAGAAATGTCGAAATTAAAAATATATTGTTTAATAAGTCGGAAAATAATGAGTTAAAATACCGAAATGAAATTTTATCCAATTACAATAATGAAACTAAAAACCAACCGATCTGCTGCCCAATTGAAACGCTACAAAATCAGAAAATTGAAAGGAGTGAAAATAAAATAAACTGTTGTAAAGAAATAGATAATAAATTATTCAAATTAGAAAACCATATTACTTGTAACAATTTAGTTAATAACCCAAATTTTATGCAGTCTGATCAAAATGTTGGGGAGGAAAATGTTTTAGGTTTAACCACAAAAAATCAACAAAGTTGTAAAGTAATGAACCATTTAGACTTAAGAAATGTAATGGAAAATGAAGTTATAAAACTTGACCAAAACATTGAAGTGCATAAGCAACCAGATTTTTTTTCTTGTATAAATCAGACAATAAATCATTCTGATGCAATGATTCCTAACCATGTTATTAGTAATCAAAAGCAGTGTGACTTTAGTTCTGTAGAGATGTTGCGCATTCAAGCAGATCAAAATAGCATCATAGAAAATCATGCAAATTCTAAGAATATAGTGAGTTATAATCTGGTGAATCACAGCTTAATGGAAGTTTTAACAACAGATCAAGACAGTAAAAATCATGTTTTAACAACAGACATTGAAACTCGTGTTTCAACAACAGACAGTGAACATGCTTTTTTTCAATCACAAAAGTTAGACAGTAATAGTTTGATATATAGCATAAAAACCGAATATGTTATGGATATGCATGATCAAGAAGTTTTTGAAACAAATAAATTAGCTGCTGAAATTGATGCACCAGAATTTGGTTTATGTAAAATGAATGTAGAACCAGGCCATATGTACCAACCTGAAAAATCTCCTGATGAACAATTTGATTCTTGTAATTCATTAGAATCTAAAATAAAGCGATCAGATACATTCTTAGATATCAATCATCAATCATCATCAGATATCAATCATCAATCAGGTCATTTCAGTGTACTCCAAAACCAGCCTAAAGTTCTCCAAAAAGAAACTAATCTTGAATCAGAAATAAAAAATCAATTAGAGTGTATCATTGCAATACCAACTAGTGATATGACTGTTGTCTTACAAAACCAACTAGATTATAAAACTGAAATACAGCTTGATCAGAGTTATGAAATGAACCACCAAAATGAAAAAAGTATTGTAGATGATTTAATTTCTGAAGTAATAAGAGATATTTGTAATTCGTTGGAATATTGTGATTCAAATTGCATTCAACTTCAAAATCAAGAACAAAATAGTTTCAATATAACAAAAAATCTTGTTAACGAAGTTCACAAAAATATTGATTTTAGTTGTGAAAGTCAATTAGAGTATACTTTAATTATAGGAAATCACTTGGATCAAAGTTCTGAAATAAAGTCATTTAGCCATGTTAATACAAAACCTGATGTTACTTCCAATGTGCTACAACAGCCATTTGATTGCTTCTTATCAGAAAATAATTTTAATCAACAGCCTTTTAATCAATTACATCTTTACCAACCAAACCTTAACCAATCAGATCTTTACCAACCAAACCTTAACCAATCAGATCTTTACCAACCAAACCTTAACCAATCAGATCTTAATCAAACTGTTTTTAACCAACTAAATCACAACCAACCTGAACTTAACCTACAATTAGTTAGCCAGCCAGATCTTAACCATTTAAATATTAAACAACTAGACCTTAACCACCTTAATCAACAAGATTTTAACCAAGATATTAAGCAATCAGATCTTAAACAACTTGTTCTTAACGCACAAGATGTTAATCAATCAAATCACAACCAACCAGATGATAATCAATTAGGCCTTAACCAAGAAGATATTAACCTCTCAGATCTTAACCAGCCAAATGATAGTCAAGTAGATTTTATTCAACCAGATATTTGTCAATCAGATCAACCAGACATTAACCAATCGTATTCTGAACTAGTTACCAATCCTGAAAATGTTGATGAAGAATTTGAAAAATCTTTTGATCATTTTAATGATAATGAAAATGATTTAATTCTTGTTTCCTATTCAGTAAATGAAGAAGATCAAACTGAAATCCTTAAGGAGCCTCCATGCAATGAAGTTTTGTATGCAACTGATCGTCTATCTGAATTATCTGAGGAACCTCCGTGTGATGAACTTTTGTATGCAACTGATCTTCTATCAGAAATTTTAAATCATCTTAACTCAATAGAATCTCCAATAGTCTCTCTTAGTCCTCTCTATGAAACAAGCAACCAAAACAGTAATTTATATACATCAAAAACGAAACAAAGCATTGAATTAAAAAACCCATTAGATCAAAATTTTCAAGAAAAAAACCATCAAAGGATTACAGACCAGTCAAAAGATCATCAAGATTATCAAAGAATTACAGACCAATCAAAAGATCATCAAGATTATCAAAGAATTACAGACCAATCAAAAGATCATCAAGATTATCAAAAAATTACAGACCAATCAAAAGATCATCAAGATTATCAAAGAATTACAGACCAATCAAAAGATCATCAGGATTATCAAAGAATTACAGACCAATCAAAAGATCATCAGGATTATCAAAGAATTACAGACCAATCAAAAGATCATCAAGATTATCAAAGAATTACAGACCAATCAAAAGATCATCAGGATTATCAAAGAATTACAGACCAATCAAAAGATCATCAGGATTATCAAAGAATTACAGACCAATCAAAAGATCATCAAGATTATCAAAGAATTACAGACCAATCAAAAGATCATCAGGATTATCAAAGAATTACAGACCAATCAAAAGATCATCAGGATTATCAAAGAATTACAGACCAATCAAAAGATCATCAAGATTATCAAAGAATTACAGACCAATCAAAAGATCATCAAGATTATCAAAAAATTACAGACCAATCAAAAGATCATCAGGATTATCAAAGGATTAAAGATCAGAGTTCAAATATTTTTAATCATATAAACGATAAAAGTGGAATTGAAAATGAAATAATATTTGACAATAAAATAAAACAGCCTGAGTTAATTTCTGAAGTCCAAAAGCAAGACTTAGAAAACACAGCAGGAAACCATTTCTGTGAAAATCAATTTAATCAAATCGATCTAAATCATTCAAACCACATTTGTGAAATTCAAAATCAAAAAAATTTTATTTCTGAATTAAATAACGAACAAAGTAATTCAAGTGTAATAAAGGATAGCAAAGAAGTTCAACAATCTAAACTTATTAAACAAACATTAAATGAATCAAATTATAAAAGTTTAGACCATACTATTGAAATGCAATACCAACTTGATAATAGTTCAGAAACACTACCACAACAAGTTAAAACCAATGCCTCAGAATATGAATCAAACTGCACTTGTAAAATTGAAATCCAACCTCAATCATATTCTGACTTCAATCTTTTGAATTCATCAAAAAATCTTAATAACCAATCAGATCTCAACAGCGAAGTGCAAAACCACAAATTTTTTAATCTTGAATTAAATAACGGAACTCAAAGTTGTAATGAAACAGATAAACATTTTCATAATAATGATGAAGTCAATCTATTTATTTTAGGTGCTAAAATACCACAACAAAGTAATTACTACTCACTTGAAGTATCTGAATTGAATAACCAGTCAACTGATTTAAGTGTATTGAATTGTGATCCATCTGAAATTGATCCTGAATTAAACCATGAAATACAGCTAACTGAACAAAGTTCGAAAATGCTAAGTCAGTCAGACAAAGAGCTCCAAAGCAAATCATTTTTTATTTCTGATTCTGTGCACGAAACAAATCATTGTGATCTGCTTTCTGAAATACTAAACCATCTAAATAATAGTGATTTGAACAAAAAACAACCCGAAATTTAAACAACTCAAAAAACTTCCTGAAAGTCTCAAACTCAGTGACAGACTCAAAACAAGTAACCATAGTAATTTAGAAAACACTGATGCAATTCGGTTTTGTTAAGCTTCAGAATGTAAATGCTGTCAATTGCATTGCAAATTAAAACAAACTGAAAAATCAAACTGTTATATCAACTAATCAGGGTTAAAATAACAATTCCATTATTACAAATCAAATAAAAATTAGAACCAATTAGAGGAACTGGATTAAATATGATTTACTAGTTAAAAATAATTTTATAAACATTTTTCTATTTAGACATTGGTTTTAAAATTTCCCAATGAAAGAAGGACAACAACATTTGTCAAACAAAAACTAAAATATTTTTAGCCAATGATAAGCCAAAACAATTTTAAACAATAACAATTTAAAATGAAAAACTTAAACTTACATCATAAACATATGTTCATAAAATGTTGAGAAATTATGTTAACTTTATATAATTTTGTGTAGAAATGATCTGATTGGTTGAAACATTTTAAATTTTTTGAAATGATTAGTTATAATTGATGTGATTGTGAACTTTGTAAATATTGTTGAAAGATAAAATGATGATAACAGTGGATTGGTTTAAAGATTTGGTGCGATGGAAATTAAAATATGTGCACCACTTGCTTTTATGAATGTATGCATTATGCAGAACAAAAGCATGTATGTCTCAGCAGAACGTAAATATAAATTTTGCAGAACACAACTGTAATATCTACATTATATCCCTAAAATTAACAATTTAAGTTTTAACTCAAAAGGATTGTCTTTAACATCAATAAAAATAAAAAAATTAACTTTAAATTAAAAAAGAAATTTTTAGCTTGTATCAATTTTATAGATGAATATAATTCTTTTAACTTCCGATATTTTATTTTCAAGAAATAGGTTTTGTCTTTTTCTTTTTTTTTTTCTCCTTTTTTTTTTTTTTTCAATAGTCATTGAAATTACAAAAATATTTTTTTAAATTATATTTTTATTTATGTTCTTTTTATGAATAATTTTTTTTAATATATTATGTGATTTTATTGGAACTATTTTTAGATATTGATTTTAACGTAAATGTAACCTATGATTTCAATAAAAAAAAGTGTATTTAAACTCATTTTTCATCAAACACTTGTTGCGTTCATCAAACACGTGTTGCATTCTGGGTATTGAATATGATAACCAATTATATATATTTAATTCGGAAAATTTTAGTTTTTATTCTGTTTAGTCTATAATTTTAGTTATATTTACTTCAATTTTCGTTTGTCTTGAAAAATTGCATCTCATCTAATTATAATGTTTTAAATAATAATTTAATTTATAGATAAAATAGTAATTAGAAAAATATTTAAAAAAAGTAGGACTCAGTGCTATAAGCGAATACAAAAATGATAAAACTTCATTAAATGTAACGTTATATTATACATCCAGTGCCGGGGCTGGTGCATCTAACGTTATATTATGTACTATCATTAAAATTTTAGAAAATTTCAATCATTAGGTATAAAAAAACAACTATAAAAAAAGCTCCTCAAATTTGAGGAGCTTTTTTATTTGTGCATCAAATTTGTGATACTTATGCACAAATTTTTTAAATATTATTCTGATAAAATTTTGTTTTGTTTTTTCTAGTTGTATTATGATTTGTGTGTGTGTATTTTTTACTTTTTTTTTTTTTTTTATGTTTTTTAGATATATATAAATCCAACCTTTCTGAACTAGAACAATTCTATGTAATTATCTATATTAGGAACAAGATTTTTAAGTTTTGATTTTAAAAAATTAGATTGTCAGGAAAAGTAATTAAGCTGTATTTCGGAATAAATTTATCATAAAGGATTTTCGTCATTATGATCAGATAAAAACAAAAATTGTGCAATTGCGAAATAAACTAACACAATCTGAAACCGCTCGAGATGGTTCAGAAATGTGTAGATTTTCTAGGTTTATGATTGTATAGTGTATTACTCTCTCAAAATAGCCCCTAAACGTAGTCTCCAATCATGTTCTGCGCTTTAGTGTCACGGCTGTCCCAGAGACAGTGGAAACAAGGAAATTTTGTGAAACCTCCTTTAAGACCCATATAGAATGATGCCATTTTGAAGTCACCGATGACCTCTCATCCGCAGTCGTCATACTTTGATGCACCCAGTAACATTTTGACACTGCTATAGTCCTCTTTGAGACGCACAAAGCGGACCATCGGGAGAGACGGGTAGTTGTTTCAAGTTGTAAAGCAACACGGCTTTGAGGCTCTAGGATAAACTGTTTATGAATAGGCGCCATTAAATAGGATTACATGCGATACCTTTAGCCTGGAATAAACCGGCAATATCGTTGCAGTTGCACAGCCCATCACGCTGACTGAAGAAGATTTGAGAACTTTTGATGCCGCAAGATGGCAAACTGTATGGCTCGCTATTTTCCTCTTTACCAACCTGTAAAATAGCCATAAAAATTTTAATAACTTGATGTAAGGATTTTTTCTTTCCAGTTTACAATGTTAGTCGTGATATAATAAAATAAACTATAAAAAATACTTTACAAATATATTTATACAAAGCGTGATAACAGTATAAAATAAGTTTCCGAAAGAAGATCGCTAAGATCTTATCGGTGAAATGAAATACCAACTTGCAACTCGCGATGCACGATGGCAAGACAAAATTAATTAAAATTTGTTTAACAAAAAGGTTCGTAAAATATTTTTTTTTTAATTACATTTTTTTTTCTCAGTGAAAGGATCTAAGTGACAGGATCTTACGATCCTCTTTGAGTCTCCGTGTTCTGATATTTAATGTACAACGATATTTATACCATAGTATATTGTAACAGAAATTAAAAAAAAAGAGTGTATTTGTTGCTGGGTTTTAAAATAAAAAGATCTAAATAGACTGGGGGAGAAGGTGGATAGATTTTTTCTTTTCATATAAACAAAGCAAGAAATTTTCAAAACGTTGAGTTCAAATATATTTAAAATTTTCATTTCAATAAAATAAGATTTATAATGAGAAAATTGATCAGCAAAGTTATGCAAAATACTCTTTTCTGACAGCGATAAAGACGATGTAATTTACTTTTTTCAGTACTTCACCAAGCAATAATAGCGTTATTTATGTAGCAGTGAATAAATGAGAAATAAGGTTGTCTTTGAGTAAGTTTGAGCTTTGTATAAAACTCCAATTAATGTTCTCATCTAGATAAACACCTAAGAATTAAATAACGGAGTTTTATTTTTATTTCCATTTCATCAATAAAGATTTGAGGCAATTTTCAGGGTAAAAAAAATTTTCCTAAGCGAACGAAAACGATAGTCTGTTTAGTTTTGTCAATATTTAATGTTAATTGTTAGATTTGAACCAGTGGGATAAAAGTTTCAGTTTTTTATTTACAGTGGCAAAAAATTCGATAATATCACTCTTAGAGATGAATAAAATAGTATCATCAGCAAACATGATGCTCATCAGATTAGTACCTTTATTTAGATCGTTTATATAAGTTTAAAAAAGGAGGGGTCCGAAAATTTTGCCTTGTGGAACTCTGCAGGTTATATTTAAACAATTGTTGTGATAGTTGTCATTACCAACAACAAACTGTTTTCTGTTTGTTAATTAACTTCTGAACCACGTTAACGCTTGGTTATTTACTCCATAGTATTTTAGTTTTTCGTATAGGATTTGATGGTCAACCCTATAGAAGGTCTTCGATATGTCGATAAAGATAAATAAGGTATATTTTGATTGTTCAAAAGACTTTTAAATTTAGTTTATAAATTGAATAATTGCGCGCTCTGTTGAGCTATCCTTTTTAAAACCAAATTGATTAACATAGAGTAGGTTATTTTTGTCAAGGTGTTTACATATTCAGTTGCACATAATTTTTTCTAAGATTTTTAAAAACAAAAAGAGCACAAAGATAAGACGATAACTAGTTATTTGTGATTGGTCACCTTCTTTATAAATAGGTGTAACTTTGGCAATTTTTTAGTTGCTCAAAGCATTTAATTTTTTTGTTTACAGTTGTTTTTGTTTTTAGATAATTTAGATTAAGATTTTTTTAAACCTCGGCAATCCAAGGTGAATTCAAACTCTTAGATTTTGCTATTATTTCAACTGCGGGAAAGTTAGCGTTATACACAAAATAGAAAGTTTTGAAGAAAGTTTCAAATATGTTACGAAAATAGGAAAATGGTCCGTTTTTAAAATATGTTTTTTCATGCCATTATTATATCAGTCGAAATAGTATTATCGAAAAAGCCGCTGATTTTATAGTTACTCCTGTAAGGAGATTGATGAACATGAATTCAGTAAAGTTCTTAAATTATCAGCGATCTTTTTCATTTATAAAATTGATATTCGAAATTTTTAAATGAACGTTGTTAATGTTCTTTTAAAAATTGAATAACTTAAATTAACATGAACAAAAGATTCTGAAACTAAAATTCTCATTATTACTGTATTTTTTAGATTTTTTTGCTTTCGTTTTTGATTCGTTGGTATTGTGGATTATCCTCCTTCGGCTAGTTGCCATATAGAGGCCACATTACCAAGGTACCGCAAAGACAGGTTCGGCTCCCCAAGGAGCGTCATAACCCGGTCTACGGACCGAGAGTAAAGTGAGTTTCGGAAGAACGAAGAAATGTTAGAGTAAAAGACAGAAGTAGTCGTGTTAGAAAGACAGCATAGAGAAAGCGGACAGGATTGCACTCGATGTTAGGAGGTGCAATAAGTTGACATAAGGATTAAAAACACAGGGACTAAAAAGTTTCAGTATGTGTTTTTTTCCGTTTTTGATTCGTTTGTATGCATATATTTTTAAAATAGATTAAGAGTTACTTTACTTTTCACTTGTCTCTTTCGTCATGTTTTGAATTGTGGTTAAATAATTAACCATCATTCATAGTTAAAAAATATACGCATCATTACGCATTATAATTATTACGCACACAACCATCACATTTTTTATAAACTAAAATTATTATTTTTTTGCTCCTATTATTAAAAGCAAAAAAAAAAAATAATCTTATTTTATAAAAAATGAACAGCAGCAATGGTTAAGGCGCTTATTTTAGAAGCAAGAGATCTAGAATTCGAAGCGAGCTCTGGTGATATTTTGCACCATCGGTAAAGTAGGAGATTTTAACTTTTTTCAATTAAATGTGTTTTTTAAATTGAAATTCAACTTTCAGTTCAATTTGGTTTAAAATTCAAATTTGTCTTTTTGTTAAGTTCAGGGTCATATATGGCCTAAATTTGTCTTCAGTAAAATTCGGGTCTTATAAAAATGAGTTCGCTGATCCTTTTTTTTTAACGGCGATAAAAACATTCTAACTGATCTAGATATAATCACATACATTAACTCAAAAGTAAAATCTCTAAGAACATCGGTCTGACTTGTAGAGCAAAACCTTTTTTAAATCCTTTTTTTAAAACCTTTTTTTAAATCCATTTGCTTAAAATTTTTATATTTCTCTTTCATTCATTGTCATCTAAATTTTGCTTGGTGCAGTACAAATAAAAATAAAATTTAAAAACTTTTTAACAAACAAAAACATGCAATCAGAATCATATCCAATGTGGGACGTTTTACACATTCCCAAGCATTGTTTATTAAGCTAAATATAATGGATATCTACCAAATAAACATCTATCGTCTTCTTATATTTATGTTCAAAATTAATAAAAATTTATCTAATATTTAATTATTAAAATATTTAACCCACTATTCCAAATATATCAGAACAGATACTTAACCAGATACTCGTATAACAGCTATCATCAACCCACAGATTATTTTGCGGCTACTAAATTTTTAATTTTTACTAGAGGATTAAAAGTATGGAATAAAATATTAACTAATAATCTTAAAACAATTGCAACGCTTAATGAGTTTGAGACCAAATTGAAGCAAATATAAGCAACGTGGCGCATGGTTTCTTCTGATATATATGTAAAGGTGTATACTGGTGTAAAAGGAAAGTTTCAGAATTATGAGTATTTGCATGCATGCTTTTTAAGTATATAATATTTTGCTATACTATAGTATTTGCTTTTACTTTGGTATTTAATTTTTGTCCTTTTGTTATATTAAAAGAAAAAAAGTAGATTTTT